AAATAAATAAAAGCAAAAGAACTACTGGAGGAGTGGCTCAAGTGGTAGAGTGCCTGCCTAGCAAGCACAAGGTCCTGAGTTCAATCCCTAGTACTGCCAAAACTAAACCAAAAACCAAACAGAAAACTGGAGAGAAAAGGAAAAAAGTACCTCCAAGTTTTCTATTTTGAGTAATCTGAAGAATAGTTTTCCCCCAGCTGAGAGAGAGAACATACGAGCATGAATATAGTTCAAGGCAGTGAGATGATAAATAATGTGGCCATGTTGAAATCCAGGAGGCAGGAAGACATATTTTGGGAGAGTCTGAGGCCCTGTTAGTAACAAAATTTGGTGGCTGGCCAAAGGGATCAAGTCTGCAGGCGTAAATTTGGATGTGAGTTCAGCTCAGTTGGTTGACCCAATGAGTGAACTCAAGAAGTGTCAGATAAGTAAAAAGAGGGGGAAAGTAGGGCAATAGTTCTGAAATTTCTATAATTAACAAGTTGGCAGAGAAGTGGAGCAAATGAGAACTGAAATAACGAGAAAGCAACAAGTAAGAGAAGCGCTCTGCAAAACACTTTATAGACAAAAGAGATTGGGTTCTTCCCAGTGTTTCAAATCATGAAACACTGAGTTAACATGTCTGCCCCTCAGTTTTTCCCATCCAGAATACATGCCCCACAAAGGTGTTTAAAGCCTAGCTCACAAGGAGAGGCCATGGTAAACCATGACTTTGCAAGGTCTATTTCTTACAATTAGCATCACAAAAGTACAGAAGTACAGAAAGTGATGACTTCCAAGAAGAGAGAGAATAGTGTCATCGGCTGCAGTTTCCAAATATATATTTCTAGCTCAATTTGTTTGGTGATTTGTAATTGAAGGAATCAAAAGAGTGAATCTATCTTCCAAAGGCCAAGAGCAGGATTTTCTGCAACTGGGAGCATAGGCCCCTTTTGTACAGGAGGTGATTTTGAACTTGACACTTTAAGTAGAACTGAACCTCATAGTGACAAAGTTTCCCCCTTTTTCTCTTTAATCTTTCTGATTTAAGTTAAGGGAGAAAGTCTCAGTTGGAGCAAATAAATCTTTAACATCTAACACTAGCTAATATCTGTTCTCAGTAAACACCTTCAGGCATTAATAGATAATATCCAGCTAGACTTCAGTACCATATTAACATTAAAATTACTGTGTACAGTCATTTCTTATTTGGGTGAAGAATACCAATTTTGTAATTACAATAGTGATAGAAACTTTCCTTATGAAAAATAAGTTTCTAAACAAAAAGACACTCGATTTTTAAAAATATGAAATGGAGACAGGCCCTGAGGGCTCACGCCTATAATCCTAGCTACTTGGGAGACTGAGATGGGGAAGATCACGGTTCAAGGCCAGCCAGGATAAAAAGTTCGCAAGACCCCATCTTAACCATTAACTGGCCACAGTGTTTTACATCTGGCAACCCAGCCACATGGGAGGCTGAGATTGACAAGATTGTGGTTCTAGGCCAGCCTAGGCAAAAAAAAAAAAAAAAAAAAAAAAAATTGCAACATCCTGGTTCAGTTGAAAGAAGCTGGTCATGGTGGTATGTACCTGTCATCCCGGCTATGGCAGGAAGCATGATATCGGAAGACAGTGGTCCAGACTGTTCCAGGCAAAAAACAAGACCCTGTCTCTAAAATAACCAGAGCAAAAAGGGCTGAAGGCATGGCTCAAACACTATAAAGCATGTGCCTAGTAAGTATGAAGCCCTGAGTTCAAACTGTAGTACCACCAAAAAATATTAAGTAAACAATAGATAGGATGTGTGGATAGGATGATAGAGAAAATCCAAATGATTGAGTATTCCAAAGGTGGGTACTGGGTAAAGTTAAATTTACTGGAGCCTGTCCTCCCTCCATTGCTTGGTGGCTGTGCTTGGTTCAACCAAGCTGAAACGACATGGGAAACTGACCATGGGATCTGGGGATCTTGGGTTCTAGATCCTCACCCCGAAGTCTCATCCTTCTCCTATGATGTTGGCACTCTTTGAAACCGCTAGGCTTTGCATCCTTAACTGGTGAGATAAGAGGATCAATTTCAAATGAGCACTCACATCTCGTCCAGCCATAATTCTGTGATTCTTTGAGCAGTTGGTAAATAAGTGTATACATTCCAATTGATGGGCTTTGGCTGAAATGTGTTTCCTATGGAAGCCATCACTGTCTGCGCGGGTGCTAGAGGCCATTCCCAGAATGACCTCCACAGCAAGGAAGGTATTAACTAACTCATTCTGTACCTAATGACTCCAATTCTAACCTCATTTGTGAAGGTAGCTGTTTCAAAGGAAATCTCTGCTTTGGTTAGGGAGATGGATTAAAATGGAAAATGAAATTGTAGGTGAATATTTGCTTGAATTTCCTGAGCCTAATGCTCTATGCTAACGCCTCGCTGTGAATCAGTAGTTTCATTATGGTCGTATCAACCCAATTCATAAAGTCCATGAATTCTGTTGCTTTGTAAGAAACTCAAAGATAGTGAGTCTATACTTTGAAAGAAATCTTCATCCATCCTTTCACTAATCTCTTTCCAACTCTGAGAACATGTTCTCCCAAGAAAAGGGAAGTCTTGGTTTTCTGACTGGCTGAAAGTTCCTCTACATGTTCATTATTGTGAATGACTGTTACTCTGCATCCTAAATATTTGGAATATAACAGCGTACTAATCCTTACCTTCAAAACCAGCCAAGGACCAGCAATAAAGGAAAAATGCAGATAGCAAGGAGATAGCAAAGAATACATATATGGTCTTTGGGTGTAAATATTTCGTTGCTGCCTATAGAATGTTCCCATATGTACAGTTCTTCTCCATGAATAGAAAGGATTTGTTCTGGTTGTTTTTTTCTTCTGATGCTGGGGATTGAACCTAGGGTCTTGCATATGCTAAGTGTGCACTGTACCACTGAGTGATACCCTGAATCCCTCTCTACCTCCCATTGTCATTTTATAGGAGACATTTTACAGATTAAGAGGGTGATCTTGTGCAAGCAGTACAACCATTTTTAAAGTTTTGTTTCTACATCTGAGAAAAAGAATCATGATATACCATTGTTCTGACCAAATGAGTATGTGTATTTACAATCCCAGCGTTGGGGTAGATACTGCCTATGCACTCGACAAGTGTCAGCTCCCAATCCTGACTTAATACCATCTAAACAGTTGAGATCAAAATGCACTTTTTGCAAGAGCATTGTTCACTGCCCTTCAGAACCTTTTCCCTCGCCTGTTCTCTACACAATGTTAAATTTGATTTCCTGGTTTCTATACGTAGAGATTACAAGTGCAGATTAGAAGGTACAAAGAACGCCGGGAGGAAAAAGACACAGAGACAGACTAAAATAGAAATGATTTCAAAATCACAGCTATATGGAAGCACTTGGGGCATGAAAATCTCCCTCCATACCTCAGTAATCACTTAGAGCTTTTCTTCATTGAAGCAAGATATAATACAGGGTACCCCAATGATGGCCGTGATTTCTTAAGGTTAAGTAAAATGATATGTGCTTTGCACATTTCAGAATGTAAGCAATGCGTTTTGGAAGAATTTCTATATGAATAGAACAAAATTTTAAGACAAGTTTTTTTGTGTTATCATGGGCAAACCCTTAGCCATCCAAAACACTAGGCCATGGAAATGAACTTGGTCTCCAGGCACTGCTCAGGGCATGGTCTTACTGAAATATCTTTTGCACATCTTCAGAAAATAAGCTCAGACGCTAAGTATTCCATAGAAGAGGATAAGGCCTTCCGAATTCCTAAGTTAAAATGATTTTATCCCAATGCCTTTTCTTTTCCTTTCTAGAAGGACAATTTGACAGAAATTACTTGTGGATTTAACAGCAGCAACTTCCTCACATTCCTTTCCCCAGGACTTGGAGTTGGAGCAGTTGGGGGTGGGGTGGGAACAGGGGGTCCCAGTTACTATATTTAGCTTTTCACGGTGTCACTTGTGATTCTCTGGGCCAAACATTTGAAGTGGGCCTAGTTTGTAGTTTAAAATAAAAGCCCTAAGTTATCCCCCTGAGAACAGCACAAACTAAGTTAGTTAAACTCATTGTAGTCTATATACAGTGCATGCATGCATTCTAGATGACGTACTGCACACACTTAGCACCTCCAGTGTTGAGCTAAGTTACGGAGTCGGCCATTTCTGACTTCACAGAGAACGTGTAGAATCCAGCAGCATCAGAGGTCAACCAGTCAAATATCAGGGCTGGAGTTTTCAAAGAACCAGATAATGCCCATTTTATGCCTGTTAATAACATGTTAGTTACATAAACAGAGATAAGAGTTAAAAAATAAACAAATTCTGCTTCATGGTATAATCTGGTTGCCAACAGAAAGGACCTTTCTCGTTGTGCACGTGACATTGCATCATAGGCCAGTGGCCATGCTGCAGCCTGGTCCCCAGCCTTCCATTGCTTTTTTTATGCAGAGGACTGAGCTCTGCCGGAGCGCCAAACGATTCCAGGGAGGCACATTCTTTGGTTTCCCCTTTAAAGCTCCCTGACTATTAGCTAATGTGCCAAACGGGTTTTGGGGGCATTTCAGACGTGTGCTCTGAAGTCAATCAGAGCTCCTGGGCCTACTGTTTTCTGGTTTTTTGTTTTCCCATATGGTTAAGGGTTCAGTTCAAATGCCAAGTCCATTGACTTCTGGAGAGGTATGGCAGAGCTCAGCTCTGATTTGAGTGTCTGCTCCAAGCAGAGATTTTCCAAAGGATATCTTGTAGGCGGTAAATCATTTCATTAGGCCTGGTTCCCTTTTCAAATCAGGAAGCCCAGAGCCTGCCCTGTAGGACAACTCAGATAGTGTTGTGATGGCTGTACTTGGAGCACTTGTAAATAATGTCGTCAATCTTTTATGCAGGTTCCATCAAGATTATGTTTGCCCACTGACAGATTAATTATGTCTGATAGGAAGCTATGAAATGAGTCCTTCACATATTACAATGACCATTCTTCTCCTAAAATGTCTCCCCAGTTGATCACTCCTCATGCCATCCGTGTGCAGACGCCTCCTCGGCACATCCCTGGTGTTGTGGAAGTCACACTGTCCTACAAATCCAAGCAGTTCTGCAAAGGGACACCTGGGAGATTCATTTACACAGGTAAGAGCCACTGAAGATGGCAGCCAACTTCATCTTTATTTTATATGCATAAGGATGTATATTTTTTTAAAATCTAGTTTCTTAATAGGTGTTGGTGGTTCACGTCTATAATCCTAGCTACTTAGGAGGCTGAGGTAGGGAGGATTGAGGTTTGAGGCCAACCCAGGCAAATAGTACATAAAACCCCCATCTCCAAAATAACCAGAGCAACATGGACTGGAGGCATGGCTCAAGCAATAGAGTGCCTTCTTTGAAAGTGTGAGGCCCTGAGTTCAAACCACAGTCCCACCCATCCCCTAAAAGAATCTAATTTCTGGTAAGTGACTTTCTCTATTTCACCAGATTCCAAGAACAAATGAGTTGTGTTGATTGTTATTATTAAGAATTCATCCAAGTTGGATGTGGTGATACACACAGGTACTTGGAAGATGGAGTTGAGGAGAATTACAGCTCAAGGCTAGCATGGGCAAAAAGTTAGTAGGACCCTATCTCAACAAATAAACCAGACATAGTGGTGCGTGACTGTATCCCAGTTATGTGGGAGGCACGGGTAGAACAGTGGTCTGAGGAAGGTCCTGGTCAAAAACATGAGTCTATCTGAAAAATAACTCAAGCAGAAAAAGGTTGTGGGCATGGCTCAAGTGGTAGAGCACCTGCCTAGCAATCATAAGGCCCTGAGTTCAGATTCCAATACTGCCCTTCTCCCGCCCAAAAGAATTCATGCAGGTTTCCAGGTTGAATGGCAGGATCTACTGAACTAATTGGTTGGATACTTAGAGGAGCAGCATGAGAAATGAGGGGACAGAGGTGCCAGAGGTGCTGAGGTCTCCGGAAGTTAAGCTGCCTTGCTGGGGAGCGCACATTTCATGACATCAGGGTGCCCTGTGAAATGGACACGCCACTTTCTCCCAGCCTGCTGTAGCATTTGGCATAAATACAGTTGGCGTTTCTCAGGTTTAATTCTGGGTTGGTTTGTTCTTCTGAAATGAGCTGCCTTTTGTCCTCCCCCCCAGCTTTGGCATGTTAGACCCTCGTGGTAAAAAGCTAGCGTTACAGGGTGAATGTGGAGCAAACCAGGAAGGATCTGGAAAGACCAGAAGCAGAACTATGTCTGCTCCACAGTCCGAGTCTCCAGACTGCAAACCAAGCACCCAGGGATCTTTGTACAATTCAGATTGGGCTGGAGTTGGTCTAGGGAGAACCTGACACATCATTTCCTACAAGTTCAAAGGTGCGTGCAGCTTATGCCCGTGGTCTAAGGACCACACTTGGGGGAGTGAAATTCATGGCCTTCTGCTAGCTGTGTCCATGAAGTCCTTCTCCACTCAGTAAAGGACCACAAGACCTGGGTGAGAAGGGGAACTTGCTGTGACAGAGAGATTCAGAGTACTGAAGGAGTAACTCTGTTTACACATCCTAATTATAACCATATAATTAAAGGAACAGATTTTATTTTGCTGTGACATTTTACCTTAGAGCATCTTTCTCCTGTATTTTAATACTGGGAACAACACTAAACATGCTTCTTCGTAACTCAATCTCCTCTCCTCTCTTCTTTCTCTCTCAAAATTATAAAGACAATTAACGCACCCTGACCCTTGGAAATGCCTCCCAGCCCTTTAAACAAAATGCAGGTTTGGTGCCTGCCTGCCGATTAGTTTTAGTTAATTGAAAATTATAGGATTGACCCAAGAGGAAAATTTTGTTTGCACTCCAATCACTTTTACAAATTAAGGAAAATTACCACAATTTTGTTTAGCTAAGGTTTCACACTGAGTTCAAGAAATTAGCTCAGCCATCCCAACAAAGTCAGCATTTCGTTAGTGAGCACTTGAAAAAAATAATAGTCTAGCTGGAGTTTTGTGGTGTATACAAACGAAGCATAGAGAAAGCTATGATGTTTTATAGAAGTAGGGCAAGTGTTTTTAATTAGGCTCATTGGTTCAGCATAAGTTTTGAAGAACAATCAAACTAGCAGATTAGCTGTTTCTTTTAAAGCTAGGATTTCTTGCCATTCACTTTTCCCATGAGAACTTCCACATAGCACTATTTTTTTTTTTTTTACAAGCCTCATTATAGGCCTGCAGGAAGAGGACCAATTGAAATTTCTGATACTGTAACATTCCTCACCATCATTCCGAGAGATGGGAGTTTTTCACAGTGTTCCTCACTGAACTCTGTTTTCTGGAACATATTACAAAACCACAGAGGCCAAATGTTTTCTCTGAGGAGTTTGGACTCTGTTTTTTGGCTGAAAACATTTAGACCTTGCTGGCTGCTTATTCATTCTGCTATTAAGAACAAGAAAAGAAGAAGAAAATGCTTGTGTGGTGGGAGGTACAAGAGGCAATCAGCCATGGTTTCCGCTTTGGTGACAATGTCTCTGCCCATTAATGGTTTCATTTTGTGGTCAGGTCTCATTTAGAAGAAATTATTTTTAATCAGTGTTCAACAAAATATCCCCTAGAGCCACCTGGCCATAAAAGTTAAAAAAAAAATCCCCATTAAATTACTTAAGTTCTCAAAAGAAAATAGCTAAGAAACCCATCATTATTTGGAGATCTTTTTTTAACCATTAAAAAAATTTGCCATCCATTTAAGAAGTCACATCTTGGAAAATCTGTATCATATTGGAATTAAGATCAAAGATAAAAACTGCAGATTTGCAAGTCTAGGAAGCAGTTCTGGAGGAGATGAGGACTGGTGTGTTTGCACGTGTGTACATGTGTGAGAAATTTTAAGCAGGGAAAAAGATTTCTGGCAATCTTGCTTCAAACTGTGGGTAACAGACAAGAAGAATTTTTTTTTTTTTTTGATACTGGGGCTTGAACTCAGGGCCTTCACCTTGAGCCATTCCACCAGCCCAATTTTTTATGAAGTGTTTTTTGATATAGGGTCTTCTAACTATTTGTTTGAGCTGGCTCTGAACCTTGATCTTCCTGATCTCTGTCTCCTAAGTAGCTAGGATTACAGGCATGAGCCACTGGTGCCGGGCATACTTTTTTTTTTTTTTGAAGTATTCTAGGAGGCAGTCTGACCTCTTCCTGTATAAGAAAAATAAAACTTTATAAAGAAATTGGGCAAAGTCCTCTTGCTTCATAGTGACTGTTAATAGTTACTGTGATGTCACACAGTTTCTAGCAAAATGGAATGGCTGTGGATTGGCAAAACCATAGGTGAGCCCTGCCAAGGGTCACCTATTTATGGCTGAGGCTACTGTCCCCTGTGACATACTCAGTTTACTACTTTGCTGTCTCCACTTATTAATGAAGAAGAGTTATGAAATCTTTCTGTTCTTTGAACCCAAACTGTTCAGGTCATTTAATCAATCATGTAGCTCCCCTCCCTCACCCCATCCCCCCATAGAAGATCTCCATTTTCTGTAAGCGCCATAATATTTTAAGATGGGAGGCTTGCTTTTCTGGATTAGTAAACTCACCTTCTTGTGTTTTAGTGGAATGTCACTAATATTTCCTTGAATAATATCATAGAGCTGAAAATAACATCCCAAATTAAGGTGCTATTGCTGCTTTCAGAAGGTGCAAGAAAGAGTTTGCTTGTGTAATATAGAAAATCTATAATTACTATTAAAAAAAAAACAGATGAGAGCAACCTGTTCTGATCTATACAGATAAAGGTAGACTTTGGGGGAGGGGGAAAGAATTTGACCAAACAAAGACTGCCTGCAAGCTGCTTTCCCTTGTAAGGAGAGTGAGCGAAATCCTCCATCACGGGGCTTCAGACCTGAGATGCAGAAGGAATTCTCAGCCACCAGATGTGTGATGCTCTTGTGTTCTTCCAATCAGAATCACACAGAGAGAGAAACCCAACTTGGGTTCTGACTTTGTGTCAAGAGCAGGTCACAGATCTTACTTTATGGTGCCCAGTTATCCTTATGCAAATGAAATTTTAAATGTTTCTGAAAGAAGGAAATAAGAACCCATGCTAAGCACAGAATTGTTCTGGAAGTCCTATGGTCACGTGTCTGGCCTGTTAGTCCATTGAAAGCAAACCCACCATTCCTCCTCTGCCAGGTGGGGTCTCCCTCCTACCTTCCCTATTCTCACTGCTTGCTTTCTTGCAGTGAAGTGTATAAGTGACTTGACTCTTTTAGGATTGTGAGCTCTGAGCCCTAAGTATACTTGGATGCTGACAGAAACAAAATTCTTAGGAACTGTTAGCTCCTTCATTGTTCTTAGAATTGGTTTTCCTAAAAAGTGCCCAAATCCAAAGGCAAGTTTTGCCTTCATTCCAGTTACTTCTCTAGGACCAGGGGAAATGTAACTAGAAGAATAGGCCACTAGATGATGTTGGAGCAGCTCAGGTGTACCCTGAGGACCACGTGCCACCCGTGCCCCCACATGTGGTAAGAGTCCCCATAAATGATCATCTAACAACCCAGATGTTTGGCTGGGCGTCTCTCAGATCCGTTCTACCACCCTGTATTCCATTTTAAACGATTTTCATCTAACTTCTGGCCCCTGTGGAATCAAAGCCTTGTATTAAATTTGAAGTAAAAATTCTTCTAGAGGTTGAGTGTGGTGGTGTATAGCTATAATCCCAGCTACCAGAAAGAGGGAAGAGGCAGAGGGTCATGGGTCCAGGCAAAAGTTAGTGAGACTTTATCGCAATAACAAGCCAGGTGTGGGAATACACCTGTGGTCCCAGCGACTCAGGAGATGGAGCTAAGAGGATTGTGGTGTGAGGCCAGCTCTCCAACTGAGCCTGAGACTATCTGAAAAACAAAGTAAAAGCTAAGGAACTAGGGGTGGGGCTCAAGTGGCAGAGCGGTGGCCTAGCAAGCGTGAGGCTCTGCATGCAAAAAATTCTTCCTGGAAATACTTCCTGTTTGCCCTGGTACCCAGAATAGCCTCACTCCCCTTCACAATACAAAGCATGTTGCTGTGCAGGCAGGAGAGGCGTATTTTGGCTAAATGTGCTCTGTGAAATTTGATGGCTGTTACCATGACTTTCAAGCTTCCATTATTTTCTTCCCATCG